AGCCTTGGCCAATTTGCAAAAGGACAAACAACCCTTCCCATGTTAGATAGTGTGTACATTTATTCAAGATTTTATGTCCTATATTTCATATATTTATTGCAGAAGGTAACTACTATATTTACTGGAGTTTACTGTAATTTACTGGAAACCATGTCACAAAAGATATTTAACCTTTGTTTAGCCTGGGCCTAGGCTGAGCCACACTTGAGGCAACTACTGTTAATTGCTCCATACACCAGTCTATGGCTCTCAAACACTAAGAACTCCAAGGCTGAGCTGAGGAAAATTTACATCTCTAGGCTAGGACTAGCAAAAGGAGAAACACCTAGTAAATAATATATTTTATAAACTTGCCCTTATTTCTCATCTCAAAATGTATCTTTTCTGCCTATCATTGCCTTTATGTATAATTTTTGACTCACCTTTACTGATGCTGGACTAAAACATATCCTACCAAAATACACACACATATTGCCTTTCAAAAACATCCCAAGCCCCATTTTGCTTCCTTTTGTCCTTTGCTATTCCTTTCCACACTCTCTCACATCCTATAACTACCTAACACATAATTCCATTCCTTGTGCTGGATTTCCTGTCCCATCACAGGGAATCTGGCACCTGAGACCGTCATGTGAACATCTTTTCTATCCCCAGATATTTTGATCTTCAACTCCCAGAAATCGTAACAGCCGGTAAACTGGCTGGGATTTCTGGGAGTTGTAGGCCAAAACACCTGGGGACCCACAGGTTGAGAACCACTGCCATATAGGAATGAGAGCTGCTCTAAGGATGGGCTTGTATTCTAGGATGCAATACTGGAAAAACAAAGGCACAGGGCTCAGCCAACTTCTAGGGAGCTGCCCAGGGCTTCTCTGAAACATGTCAAGCAGGTAGAAGGGTGTGGTGGGTTGTGTTGATTTCCTGGTAGGAAGCTGAGTTTGAAGGGAAATCTGATTGGCAGAAGATTAGGCTTGCAAGTGAACTCCAGGCAGAGATTTTGTATCTGCTGGCTAGCTGTTTGATTAAGTCTTGGCATTTCAACATGGGAGAAATATTTCACTTCTTTGTTTTTGTGTATCAGGATCAGTTGGTGTTTTATAAAAGGTTTTCAGCTCGTATAGGTTTCCCATGTTGTGGATCACTTCTAATATGTAATTGACTAGTATCAGTTATTAAGTTCTCAGTCAGAGCATTCAACATTCCACCATCTAATGGTTATTAAGTTTCCTATCTATTCAAATTACGAACTTTTTAAACAGAGGGCCAGGTCACAGTCTCTCAAACTGTTGGAGGGCCAGATTATCATTTGAAAAAATATATATGAATGAATTCCTATGCCCACCGCATAACGGAAAGTCTTATTTGTAGTGCAAAAACCACTTTAAAACAATACAATAATCAAAATGAAGAACAATTTTAACAAATATAAACTCATGTGTATTTCAATAGGAAGTGTGGGCCTGCTTTTGGCTGATGAGATAGGATTGTTGTTGTTATTCCTTGCTTTCAAGTAGTTTCAGACTTAGGTTGACCCTGAGCGAGGGCCGGGTAAATGACCTTGGAGGGCCATATCTGGCCCTCGGGCCTTAGTTTGAGGACCTCTGATTTAGAGAATGAAGGGAATATCCTTCACTGTGCAAGGAACTTCCGCACTCCTCCCTTTGGCAAAGAAGGATAAATCCTTGTAAAACTACAACTCCCATGACTCCACAACATTTTAATGCAGAATTTTAAATCCATTCTATGTCTAACTTTTGTTTTGTGTATTTTAATATGCATTTTATGGAAATATGTTTTAATATGTGTATTCTTCAGAGTGTTTTTAAATGATTATGTGTTTTGATTATGTGTTTTAGCAATGTTGTAACCTGCCTTGAGCCATGAGGAGAGGTGGGTAAGAATTATTATTATTATTATTATTATTATTATTATTATTATTATTATTATGGACTTCATCATATGCAGGGAAAGAAGTATCTTCTGCCCACTTCTCTCTACGTCTGTCATAGAGTCCTCCAGAGTTTATCACATGATGCAGGGCTACTTCCGAAAGGACTCCATGGAGGTCCGTATTAGCAGCATTGCAGTGGTGGAGCCCAGAGAAGTCAGGTATACACCTGACTTCTAATAGAAAAAAGCCAGAGGAGCCAAAGAGGAAGTGGGGGCGATGGGGAAACATTGAGGGAAGGAATGCCACGGACTCTGACAGTAGGGAACACAGTGAGATGGGTCCATTTCCTGCCCAATGATTTCCATGCTGTCCCCTGCTTTACAAATGGCCATCTGATAAAGTCCTAAGTCACTGAAGTTAATGTGGTATTAACAAACTGCATTCATTTACAGTGTAGGTGCTCCAAGAGTCAAAGTACTAAAGCCCTTTAACAATATCACACATTAAAGAAAAATAATTACACTGAATATTTTGGATACTGTGTTGTTATTTGGATAGAGGCAGCAAAGGGGTGTTAGGGAGAGAAGAATAATTATGAGGGTGGAGGGTGGGTTAAAGGAGTAAAACCATTTCCCCCCATTTTCCTGTTATTCCCTTCACCCATGTCCTTGTTGTGGAAAAACCCTCATTTATGATATGGGAAATAGAAAGATGAAATAACCAGTAAAAATGGGGGAAATGATTTTCCTCCCTCAACTCCCCCCCCCCAATAAAATGGACTGTCCTTCTCTCTCTAATGCCCCTTAGTGGTCTCTGCTGGGATAACAGATCAATACTGTGTATTGATTTTTCAATTTCTGCCTTACCTTGGGAGAAAAGGAAAAAGCTCCTTGATTTTTTTTTAAAAAAACCATTTTGATATAGCCCACTCAAACTTCTTATCATTGTTTTCCCTGTCTCTGTCCCTTATACCCTCCATTAACCTCTTCCTAGGGCACATCCAGACAGCCCCTTTATTGCGGAAACTTCCCCAATAAAAAGTGGGCTGTCCAGATGACATTCTGGACAATCCACAAATAATTTACCACAAACCAGGAAAACCCTGGCAAATTGATTAGTTAGTGGATTTATTCCATGCCTTCTTGGAAGGCATGGGATAACCCACTACTTCCTTTGTCTGGACTGCGGTCCAGACACCATTCCCACAGTTTTCTGGACTAAATTAGTCCGGAAAACTGTGGGAACATCCCCCCCCCCCCAAGTCCTTAAAGTACCCTTTAAAAATAAAAGTACTTACCAGCTTCTAGTGGAGAGCTGCAGCAGCTCTCCTGGCATGTAGAAATGATGCGCCAGGAGAAAGGAGGGGGGTGATTCCCCCCCTTCCTCCTAGCATGTCATTTCTACACTCCAGGAGACACGTACCAAAGTACCAAAGTCATGCAATCAGAATTAAAAGATGTTGAGTCCAACAATATTTAAAGGAGCTTGCAGGTTTTTTTTTAATCCATTCTTGCTCAGTGGACTGGTTTCTCAGGCTCCTTGGTGCTCCTCCATTTCTACTATGTCACTCATGTATTGGAATGGTAATGCTTGTTACCACTTCATCACATTGAAGCAGGGAAAGATTTGTTATAGTAGCGCTGCTTAGTCATCTCCATTTAGAAATGAAATGGATGATTTTCCTACCTTCATCACACTATTAAATCTATCCTTGCAACTCAGTTGTACTTAGGATTCTTCAGTTCATTTTCTATCACACTGTAATCACTAGGCACAACCCACCATCCCTCTCCTCATGTTCTTTGTTGAAAAAAAACCCTCTTGTCTTTGAAATGTTAGCTATTACACATCTTCAATTCTCTGAGCTTTCAGTCTAGCCCCCCCCCCCTGCAATCTCTTTCTCGGGTGCCCCACCAGGGAAGGAAGAAATTCAGGAGGGAGGGAGCAAAAGTGGTGATGCACCCATCCTTCTCTCCATCTCTCTCAGCTTTCCCATGTAACACAAGGCACAGACATATCACGAAAGAAAGGAAAGGGGGAAAAAGGACTCTGAAAGGCTATTTTTTTTTAAAAAAGAAATTGTTTGGCAGAGAAAAAGCTTGGTGAGCAAAAGGTAATGGCAGAACTTTCCCTAACAAGGGATGTTGGCTCCTCCCGCAATTTCCCCTCCTACAAATTGGGGAAACATTTCATTCTAAACCTGAGAGCAATGAATGCCATCACATTACAGAGTTGGCCTTTTTGCCCATCTACATCTGAATTGTTACCAAAATCCACTTACCAAGCAGCTCCTGAAACGTTTGAAAAGAAAGCTGTTCCCAATGCTTTAGGCACGTAAAGAATGCTCTACCTCACACTTGAACCCAACCTAAGTATTTATTTTTTGTGTTAGAAGTGAACAAAGGATACCGTTGTATGTATTTAAGAAACACAAAGTTTAAAAACTTGGCATTATATCACATGTCCATTGACCAGCAGCTGGCCACTTGGAGTGCCTCAGGTTTTGCTATAAGGAGATCCTCCATTGTGCACGTACAGGGCTCAGGCTGCATTGTAATAGGTGGTCTGTGGTTTGCTGTTCTCCAGACTCACATGTCATGGACTTCACTTTGTGGTCCTATTTCTTAAGGTTGGCTCTGCACCTCGTAGTGCCAGAGCACAGTCTTCTGTGTGCCCAGGGGGGAGTCTTTTAATTGGTGTCAGCCATGGCTTGAGCTTCTGGATTTTTGCCTGCCACTTTTGGACTCTCACTTGCTGAGGTGTTCCTGTGAGTATCTCTGTAAATCTTAGAAAACTATTTCTTGATTTAAGGCATTGGCATACTGGCTGATATCTGAGCAGAGGATAATGTAATGAACACAGTGGTTACCACTTCTAAAGTGTTTGACTCAATGGTATTTATTTAATCAATGCGATCAGTAAAGTATTTCAAGTCACCGAGAGACCTGATCTATATAATCCCTGCCCCTGATCTCTGCCATTAAAATTAAAAATACACCGAGGTTGTAAGGCATTTTGTTTTATTTAACAGAAAGTTGAAAAAGAATTATATTTTTTGCAATGTATTTGGTACACAACTTTACAACATATAGTGAGTAATCTGTTCTGCTTTTTCTCCTGGTTGTGGCTGCAGTGTGTGTGTTGGGTTTAATGAAGATATATAGAGCTTGGGTTTTGATTGACACTCAGTTTTGTGTTCTGTATGACTTGTATTCTGTTGAAATGAGAGCCCAAGGAATATTCCAGAAAGTTGTCGATTAACACACACACAAAAAGTCAGACTGTAAATCTCAGAAGCCCACAAGAAGCCCTTTGTTTCAAGGATGGAGCGTGAGCTTCGCATTTGACTGATGTACCAAGAAGAATGCATAGATCTCTCCTTTAAATGTTGTTTGGGGGAAAGTGAAGATCTCAGCATCTGTATCACCATCAAAAAATGCTACCTGCCCTTCTGAATAGTCCAGTAAAACCTGGATCTTAGTGAGATGTTTATGCAAGGTCAAAACTGTCCTCTTAGGATCAGTGATTGACTCATACTGCCCACCAATAAGCTGGACAGCCCAATACCCTGCTTGAGGAGCAAAATAGATGCTTCCTTTTCTCTGGACAGATTTATCAGCAACCCCCACAGCCCACCAATGCCCATCTTGTACCACTTCGACCTCCCAACAGATTTTCCCAGAAGTGAAGCTTTCCTGGCTTAGTACACTGGCCAAAACGTCATATCGTATTTTAGTACTGGTGACATTCTGTGCCATATTTCTCCATTCCACACTCTTCAGATCTTCTGACACGTAAAGTTGTGGATGGGCAGTTTTTGGGTCCAAAGTCAGATTTGCTGCAACAAAGAGAAAAGTGAGGACAAGCATCAGCATAACCTCCCTAATTTTTCTTAGAAATAAAGGTGTATCTACACTATAACATTAATGCAATTTGACACCACTTTAGCTGCCATGGTTCAATGCTGTGGAATCATGGGAGTTGTAGTTTTATATGGTCTTATTTGCCAAAGAATCCTCATGTCCACCAAATAACAACTTCCATGATTCCATAGCACTGAGCCATGGCAGATAAAGTGGTGTCAAATGGCATTAATTTTACAGTGTAGATGCACCATCGGAAACTGTATTTATTGATATAATTGCCATTATAAAAGCAAGATTTTATGTTTATACTTAATCTTCTGGAGTTCTGTAATATTGATTAATTGGTGTCTGTGGGGGGGGGGGGAGTCATGGAATCCACTAATCAAGGTGATATTTAAAGAAAACTCTTTGAGATGGTATGCGCCTTCAGTTCATTTTCTGACTTACAATCAGCAGAGCAGAAGAGGGAGTTGTGTGCCACTTTTTCACCTTTTTGTGTGACTCTCCCTTCTCTTTCTTCCCTTGATAGTGGATATAAGTGGATATAGACCAACATATATCTACCTATTGTTGTCCTATTGAAAAGGGGGAATAGCCTCCACATGTGCTCAGGATATAAACAGGAACAAAACAAAGTTATTTCATCATTATTACAAAGCCTGATTTAGTATCAGAGAGCTGTGGTAAACCTGCCTCCCACAGAACCACAGAAGCCAAAGTATGCTATCATATCCGACTGATTAACAGACACATCCTCTTGTTTGCAGAAGGTTAGGAAACCAATATGGTTACTTGGGTGTGTGGGCACTGCTCATAGAGAAAAATCTGACTGCATGGTGGGGGTTTCATCATTCGGAGGGGGCTTGCCATTGCTTTCCTTTGAGGGTAGAACATGTGACTTGCCCAGGGTCATCCAGTGGATTTCCATAGCTAAGTGGTTTCCACTGTCCTAGTTCAATATTAAAACCACCACACCCTAGTCCCTCCATGAGATTACAATTCATCTCCCAAGAGTCGTTGTTGTTGTTGTTTCTGGGAGTTGAAATCCAAAGTTTGGGAACCACTTAGTTAGAAGAATCCTCTTCACATAAGTAATGTTTTCTACAAAGCCAGTGAAGTGTGGTGTTGGATTAGGAGAAAAGGATTCAAATCTCCACTCGGTCATGGAAATCCAGTGGGTGAGCTTGGACATGCCACGCTCTCTCAGCCTCAGAGACAGCAATGGCAAACCTCATTTGAATATATATTGCCAAAAAATAAATCTAAGATAGGGTTTTCATAAGTTGGAGTCAAGTGGACGTCACATAAAAACACACCAAGTGGAAAGAGCTAACTGTATTAGTCTGTATTATCATAAAATCATAAAGCTGTACAGTTAGCACCTTTGAAGCAAACTAGAAACCAATTATTTTCTAAACTTTCATAAACACAGCCCAGTTCTACAGATGCACAATCTATGCTAGAAGCTTATCCTAGAAATCTCTTACTTCAGTTACTCAAAAGTACTGTTGGATTCCTTTATGACTTTCTATGCAACGATGGAGAGAAGAAATGAGAAGGAAAAAAACACCTTTCCAACATCCTGGGGATTTGTGCTATCAGAAAAAAAGGACTGAACTCAGTGTAGCATTATCATTTTTACATGTGACCCTCCTTCCTTCCTCACACTTCTCTTCCTTGTTTCTCTCCATTCTCAGGAGTGGGTTGGAGTGGAAGAAAGCTTGGCATTGTGAAGCCAGTCCCTCCTGGCATGCTCTCCAACAGAATGGGTCTTGTGATTGCACAGCAACATAACTGAATGCAGGCCAATGTATACATAGCTGTCTTTTGATACCCTATTAAAAAGGGGGTTGCTCTGTTAATAACCTGAAGTTCTTTATCCCAGACAGATAAAACCTGCCAAAGCACCAGACCACTATTGTAAGTCTGCCTGCCAAAGGATTTTGCTCACCTTGAGTACAAAAGCCAAAATATGCTATCAAGTTGGACTCACACACATATCTTCCCCTGTTTGCAGAAGGTTAGAAAATATTGTGGTTATCTGGATGTGCAAGCACTGCCCACAGAGGAGAGCTCATGAGGAACCAAAACTCTCCAACATCTGCATTGGAATTGGATGAGGGGAACTGAGAGAAAAGGTCACACGAAAGGTTGGCTGCTCATTCTTGCAGTGTTCAATGTAATGTTGCATAAAAAGTGGGTGGTTGGCATCAAAAAAGATTTCCATGAAAAGATCCAACATTGCACTTGCTGGCCTAGATCCAATCATTTCTCCTAACTAGAGAGGCATCATCCTACCAACATGGGAGCCACCAGTTGCCACTTAAGAAACATTTAAGTCAAGAGGGTTTGGATTAGATGTGATGATGGCAATGTAGTTCATTTCAACTGTTGTATTCTAAAACTATGGATTTTAGTTCAGTATAATGTTTAGTGACAATGAAAGCCAGTGTTACCTGTTGTGTAATTTTTAGCTGATCTACAAGGAAAACATTTTTGTATGCAAGCCTGGATCTCTTTTTGTGCCTCATTCTTCACAGGATGGACCCGGGAAGCTGAGAAAAAAGCATGAGATTAGAATAGGTAGCCACCTAGTCTACATACATCGAGAAATCTTTCCTTATCAACACTAAGACCTGGTATGGATAGGGGTTGGTCCATGAACTTCAGCTTCTATAAATTGTAGTTATTCATTAGGTCAGTGGTTCCAAACCTTTAGTCTTCCAGATATTTTTGACTTCAACTCCCATAAATCCTAGCTAATTTATTAGCTGCTAGGAATTGTGGGAGCTGAGTCCAAAATACCTGGAGAACCAAAGTTTGGGAACCACTAGTCTAGTGAAAGAGTCCAGCAGAATCTGAAAGAAACTCCAGGGCAGATATTGGACGGTGGTCTGAAAATAGTAGAAAATTACCATCAGATATGGCACCGGGCAATCCCTATTGTCATTGTCAACAACAACATCCTTGTTCTTACAAAGTTGAAGTCCAAAACATCTGGAAGAGCAAAGGTTGGGGACCTCTGCATTAGATGGAGGAAAAGATACCCTGAGTTTGTTGACTGATACACATACGATTCACATTGCTTCATATATCTGGTAGGAGATTCTTGGAACTATTGTTCACAAAAATTTCTAACATCTATATTAACAATGTAAATAATATTAGCTAATTGTCTTAGCTTTAAAGATAAAGCATTCTTTAACTAGCTAAGACATCACTTTGGGGGGAAAATAAATCAAGTTATGCAATATTTTGCCCCACATAAGAACTGAAATACTCTGAGTTTTTAAAAACTTTTTTGGACTGAGGAATTTAAAAGCATTATGTATTTTGCATAGAATACAATAGACTTTTTTAAAAAAATAATCACACAACCTTACTTACACTTTTAGACAAAATGTGAAATGTAACAGAAATGTTTGTAATTTCATCCAGTCCAAAGAAAACTTTTGAAGGTTTTTTTCTATATCAAAAATGAAATCAGTAATTCACATCTCCTTTCTCTTTTTAATCTCTTTTTATATTAAAAAAATCAGCTATACCCCTCCTCCATTTGTCTAACATCTATGAGACTGTGAGGCTTCAGGATCTGCCTTGTCTCTCCATAGATAGCATCCAACTAGTAGTATAAAGAAATGTAAGTACACCTTATGGCTTTTTATGTCATTATTTGGTAGTTGTGGCACAACTCTTGGATCTGGCATAAGTACACTGGTGAACATTTACACAAGGCTAAAAGTGTATAATGTTTTGGCCATAATCATTAAGGTATCCCTTTCTGTCTTTTATAGGCAAAAAGGCTATTGCTAGGCCTCTAGAAACGACTCCCTCTGTTTTTTGGTATAATAATCTCTCCCTGGTTGCAAGCTCATGCACAGGTGGATTGCAACATGGAGTAGTGGGCTGTCACTTTCTTTAATGTAACTTACTACTTTCAGGTTATATGGTGAAAGTGAATAACCTACCTGAAAGAATCATGAAGACCACAATGCACTTCAGAGCAATGATTGCTGTGAATGACATTCCAAGAACAATTTTGAGCCACATAGGAAATGAAGGAGGACCTAGGAGAAAATGATATTTAAGAAATTGAAAATCTAAATATACTTATGCCTATGATCTTAAAAAATGTACAAATTATATACCAATGATACATAACTCCAAATAAACTAGCAAAATATTATAAAAACACCCATAACATATGCTGAAAAAGTGAAATCCAAGAGGGAATTTTCTATCATCTGTGGTGGACCTGCAGAAAAGCAAAAGACTATTGGAAAGAAGTACAGGATAAATACAGGAAATACTTAACACTGAAATACAATTAAAACCAGAATATTTTTTAATTAGGAACATATTTTTTTCTGGGACACTAATAGTGATATCTGATTCAATTATTTGACAACAGGGGCGAGAATTGCATATGCAAGGCATTAGAGAAAAAGAAATACCATAATTAGATTAATTTATTTATTTATTTCGTACATTTGTACCCCGTCCTTCTCACCCCCAGGAAGCAGGCAGCTTCACAACAAGCACTTGTTTAAGTGCTAATCACAAAGATAAAATACAATTTAAAACAATCCATTTAAAATACATTATATTAATAAAAACATTTGTTTAAAATCATGCTGGTTTCTGGCATAGCAGAGGGGTTGTATGCTCTCTGTATGCCACTCCAGTGAGTAACCTGGCTGTTGAGCGTTGGACCATTTGAAACTTCCGAACAGTCTTCAAAGGCAACCCCATATAGAGTACGTTGCAGTAATCTATCTGGGATTACTCAATTACTTACAATGGCTAATAAAAAAATAATAGAAATTATGAATATGGACAAACTAACTCCCTTACAAAGGACATATGCTATGAGAACAAAGGAAAATTATAATATAGAATAAATTTGATAAAAGAAATTGTTACACTGACCAAAAGGAGAAATGAAGAAGCAATCGACAAGAAGAAAGTATCAATGGACAATTTAAATATCACAGCAAAGAAGATTGGAAGCCTTATGAACATTTCCTCCCTTTCTCATCTCTTTTTTTCAACCTCTTGCCCTATATTTCCAGTTTACCATTTCTTACTCTTTTTTCCCCTCTATATCTTTTTATTTTAGATTTATGTTACAAACTATCTTAATAAAATTATTTATTTTAAAAAAGAAATTTAAAATCTACAATATTGGAGCCAGCATGGTGTATTGATTTGAGTACTGAAAAAGGATTCCAAGGAATTTGATTTCCTAGATCACAGAATCATTAAATCAAAGAGCTGAAAGAGAGCACTAGGCTATTCAGTTCAATGAACTTTTCACCTTCTTCAGCTGTGAAATAAGAAGGGAAGACAGACACTCACATTCTGTTGACTGTTCAGCCACTGACAGAAATTTCCTGATCATTTGTAGTGCCCTTCTAATCTGGTGTCCTCCACATGAGTTGAACTACAAAGCCCATCTTCTCCAATGGCTATGTTGACTTGGAATGATAGACATGTTGTCCAACTCAAGTGAAGGCATCAGGATAAGCAAGACCAATATACTAGCTTTTCATTGCATATACTTTTACAAGAAACAGAAACCTGGCATCCTGTATTCCAGCAGTGTTTGGAAAGAGAAGAACCCAATGCAGGATATTAGTTTGGTACCTTTGAGCTGAGGAGGAGGTGGATCAGGAGGCAACACTTTGTTTGGAGGTCCTGTTTCGTATGTCTTATTATCCATGTCCAAAAACTTCTTTGTAATAAGAAGCTTTCCAAAATAGGAAGTGATGGTTCCTTAAAGCTGGAGGGAAAACACAGGCATTTTAAAAGAAAAAGATCCCACAGAGGAAGTGCTAATATAGCCATGCAATTTTTGGGGGCTAGCCATCCTGGGCTGTAACCACCTGAAACTTCTTGTATTAAAGTTGGCCATTGAAGTTATAGATTTCAGGATGGACACCCCTCCTTTCAGAGTAAAACGACTACCTCAAGCAGGAAACTGCACTGTCACGAAAGGGCAATACATTGTTAGATAATTATTTTTAGTTACTACTGTGTTTAAGATGTTCTAGCTCCTATGTCAGAGTACTTTGGTTGGCTGTGTGTACCACTTTGATCAGTAAAATAGGTAGCAAAATGTCTTGGGCAGTCCTGCCTCTTGTGGAGATAAAACTTTGACAACTGGCTGTGGGACATTTTCCTAATTCATTTGGCACAATTCTAATGATTTTTTTTCAGCAGCAGCAAAAAAATGGCCCTGTTCATCTTGGTTTTCTGGTGTTCCTTTGACCCCTGTGTCTTTATATTTTGCCTGTGCTCTGATGACACTTTTATTACTCTTGAAGTTTTGATGTACAGGAGTGTTGAGTATTACTTTAAGCATTGATAGACTGCAATGAGGTTTTGAAGTTGTTGGGGAGGAGGGCAGTTTTATACTGCTAAGGGATGCCCTTCCAGAGAAACATAGTGGACAGCAGTACGCAACAAGAGACACACTCCCTCTGAGCTACTTCCATATTCAAAGTGTCTACTACCCAAATTTATTTATCACCTTCAAATATTAAGTGAGGCTTTTGTAAAGTTTATAAAGTTGACATCATGTAAATTCTGCACCTTAACCATAATACAAAAGGTATTCCTATTTCTCAGTAGAATGATGAATTTATTTATTTATTTATTTAAAAGTTTTATATACCGGCCTTCTCACCTCTCTTGAGGGACTCAGACCGGTTTCCAACCATAATATCATATACAATCAATAAAACATCATAATTCATATTACAGTAAAATATTAAAACAGCAATCAATAACTATAATGGTCAGTCGTCACACTAAAATCGTTCATCATCCTCCATCCATGTCTCAGGGTGTTGGCTCACTCATCAAATGCTGTCTCCATAGCCAAGTCTTCACCTGTTTCCTAAATGTCAGGATAGACGGGGCGGTTCTGATCTCCAGTGGGAGAGAGTTCCAGAGTCGAGGGGCCACCACCGAGAAGGCCCTGTCCCTCGTCCCCACCAGACATGCTTGCGAGGCCGGTGGGACCGAGAGCAGGGCCTCTCCAGACAATCTTAGTAATCTTGATAGTTCATAGGGGAGAATTCGTTCGGAGAGGTAAACAGGGCCGGAGTCGTTTAGGGCTTTATAGGTTAACACCAGCACTTTGAATTGTGCTCGGAAGCTAATTGGCAGCCAGTGGAGCTGGTGTAACAGCGGAGTGGTGTGCTCCCTGTACCCAGCACCCGTTAGTAGTCTGGCTGCCGAGCGTTGGACTAGCTGCAGCTTCCGAGCAGTCTTCAGAGGCAACCCCACATAGAGAGCGTTGCAGTAGTCTAAACGGGATGTAACCAAAGCGCGGACCACCGTGGCCAAGTCAGACTGCCCAAGGTTCGGGCGCAGCTGGCGCACATTTTCATGAAGGGTGAAAATGTAGCCCATCCCAAAGACTCTTGAGCATTTTCTCTTAGAATAATGCTTGTGGAATGGACTAATCCCTCACTTTCCTCTGCTTGGGGGAAGGAATGGTTCTATCTATCTATCTATCTATCTATCTATCTATCTATCTATCTATATATATATATATATATGGACCTTGAGTTTTGGAGTTGTAGTTCACCTACATCCAGAGAGCACTATGGACTCAAACAATGATGGATTTGGACCAAACTTGACACAAATTTTCAATATGCCCAAATGTAAACACTAGTGGGGTTTGGGGAAAATAGACTTTAACATTTGGAAGTTGTAGTTGCTGGGAATTATAGTTCACCTACAATCAAAGAGCATTCTGAACCACCAATGATAGAATTGGGCCAAACTTCCCACACAGAACCCCCATGACCAACAGAAAATACAGTGTTTTCTGATGGTCTTTGGCGACCCCTCTGACACCCCTCTTGCGGCCCCCCCAGGGTCCCAACCCCCAGATAGAGGAATGCTGCCTTAAGGCTATCCAGTCCAATCCCTTCACCAGGGCAAGAAAACATAATCAAAGCCCTTCTAACAACAAACCATCCAGCCATAGATATAGATGGACATATATGATTCACACACACACATTTATATGACAGATATAGTATCATAGATCTGAAAGGGATCTCCAAAGAAGAAATACTGTTTATCCACAAGCATAAAGTAATTAATTACATATATTAGAAACCAACACTTTCTCATTACTTTATATTCCTAATCACCACACTGGGCCAGAGCAACGCATGGCAGGGAATGGCTAGTGTGTGTGTGTGTGTGTGTGTGTGTGTGTGTGTGTGTGTGTGTATGTGTGTGTGTGTATACCGAGAATGGGCAACTTGGAAGTCCTTGAACAGACTCAGAAGTGGAGTTGGCAGATTAAAAGACAACCTGGCAAAATGGCCCTATATAGAAGAATCCTCTACCTTGTGTGACTGTGGAGCAGAACAAACAACTCCACACCTGTATGCCTGCCCACAAAACCCTGCCTCATGCACAGAGAAAGAACTGTTTAAAGTTACAGACAATGTGGTTTCTGTTTCCCATTTTTGGTCAAACATTATTTAGCAGCTTGTGTTCCCTCTGTTTTATCAGTTTTATACTAACTTATTTATGCAATGTTTTTGACATGGAATAAATAAAGGACTGGGAGAGAGAGAAAGACTCAGATCAGTACCTTTGTCTCCAGTAGGAACCGTTGCTGTGTATGAATCTCTTCTTCTTGCATCTATACCCATATAGCCCTCTTCATTCTCAATCTTCCTGAGTTCTTTATTAGTTCTGGTTGAAAGTAAGAGAGGCTTTGGAAAAGGAAGTAACAGATCCTTGAAGTCCTTATAATAGGAATTCAGGTGCAATTATGCAAATGGCCTTATAAAGCCAGTCTGCTGGTTGGCAAAGTCAGTTTCACTTGGTTGGCATCTCTGTGCAATATTATTCCACATATAATATTTGTAGCAGACAATCAGCACCCTTTGAGCCAAATTTCTCAGATGATGACCTCTGGTTAGTTGCTGAGGGAAATTCCATTCTGTTATTGGAATATGGGTGAATGACATTTCCATCAATTTCAGAAGACTGGACCAGGAGATATTTATTTGCTAAGTGTACAGAATAGATTCTGTTTGTTTGATTTAATCTTTTTAAAATATATATTTATTGACTTGGAAGCAAAGCGGGGACAATCTGGTCAGTACTTGGAATGGAGGCAACTAATGAAAACCATGTGATGTAGCCTATATTTCAAAACCTCTAAATATTGCTTGCCTAAGGAAATGCTGTGGAATTCATATCATCATTAAAACTCAACAGGAGACTTGATGGAACACACACAATGTTGGTGTTGATGTTAGGAAGGGCTTGATTTCATTTTAATATTAAACTTTTGGATGCTTCAGCATTGTTGTTTGTCCAGAAATGTCTAAGCCACCAGTCTCTGAGGAAAGGGAGGATGAAGACAATAAGAGCAGAATGTATTGTCAAAGGTTTTCCTGGCTGGAATCACTGGTTTGTTGTAGGTTTTTCGGGCTGTATGGCTATGTTCTAGAAGTATTATCTCCTGATGTTTCACCTGCATCTATGGCAGGCATCCTCAGAGGTTGTGAGGTCTGTTGGAAACTAGGACAATTGGGTTTAGATATCTGTGGAAAGTCCAGGGTGGGAGAAAGAACTCTTGTCTGTTGGAGCTAGGTGTGACTGTTTCAATTGGCCACCTTGATTAGCATTTGATGGCCTGACAGTTTTTAGGTGTGCCCTGTTACTACTTGGGGGAATTCTTTATTGAGAGGTAATTAGCTGTTCCTGATTGTTTCTTCTCTGGAGTTCCCTTGTGTTTGAGTTTTGTTCTTTATTTACCGTTATAATTTTAGAGTTTTTTTAATAGTGGTAGCCAGATTTTGTTCATTTTCATGGTTTCTTCCTTTCTGTTGAAATTGTCCACATGCTTGTGGATTTCAATGGCTTCTCTGTGTAGCCTCTGATATGGTGGTTGTTAGAGTGGTTCCGCATTTCTGTGATCTCAAATAATATGCAATGTCCAGGTTGGTTCATCAGATGCTCTGCTGATGAATAACAGCAGATACTGACAGCATGAACTGTTGCTCAAGGACAATGGGAGTAGTTTCCTAAAAACATCTGAAGGGCAGAAAGTTGCCTCACTGTGCCTAATATGAATAAGGGCTGATTGGAAGAAGAGCTTGGATTCCTTGATGCAATTTTTGGGAAGACTCAAATATACAGGGAAAATTCCATTGGCTTCTGGGAATGAGTCTTTTCAAAACAAACCAAGCAGGTATGAGCATGTGATGGCTTACACCAGGCATGTAGCGGGGAGGGGGGGGGGCTTGAGGGGCTTCACCCCCCCCCCGAAAATTCTCATGGTGGTTCGCGAAAAGGCCTTACTGGTGCATTATTTAAACTGTTATGTTTATTTATATCATGATCTGATCACCATACTCAATATATCCCATATGCATGGGGGTATTGGGGTAATGATACAAAAGGTTTGCTAGGGTAGACCCTCTTTCACTCAGACTCAGCCCCCCCGAAACCCCCCCCCCCCCCCCCGAATCAAAATCCTGGCTACGGGCCTGGCTTACACTGATTCTTTTTTCTCCATACATTTTTATTATGCTTTTAAAAAAATCAAAACAAAGAAAAAAGGAGACCAGAAAACGAGGTGAGGGTTGTGGAGCTCAGATCATCATCATCATCATCATCATCATCATCATCATCATCATCTTTATTATATCCCACCTTTCTCCCCTTGAGGATTCAAGGTGGCTAATATTTATCCACACTAAACAGTTTAAAAAGAGCAATACGGAGGTTAAAAAACAATGAAATAATAATAGCATGGTAAAACAGAATTAAAATACAGCAAATACATTAAATACATTAAAATGATTTTTTAAATTCATATTCCGACCCCCCCCCCCAATCCTACCCATGCTTCCCAGAGCCTTCTCTTGCCCTTCCCCAAAATCCTAACCCTTGACCTGCTTACAGAAGGCCAGCAAGGATGGGGCCATTCTGGTCTCTCATAGGAGGGAGGGGAGCCTCCAGTGGCGCAGTGGGTTAAACCCCTGTGCCAGCAGGATTGAAGACCGACAGGTCGCAGGTTCAAATCCAGGGAGAGGTGGGTGAGCTCCCTCTATCAGCTCCAGCTCCTCATGTGGGGACATGGGAGAAGCCTCCAACAAGGATGATAAAACATCAAATCATCCGGGCGTGCCCTGGGCAACATCCTTGCAGACGGCCAATCCTCTCACACCAGAAGCGACTTGCAGTTTCTCAGGTCGCTCCTGACACGACAAAAAATAATAATAGGAGGGAGTTCCTCAGCCTGGGAGCAGCCACCAAAAAGGCCCTCTCCCATGCTTGAGCAAGCACTGGGATCGAGAGAAGGCCTTCCCCCAGATTCATAGAAAGAGATGCGGTCCTTCAGATAACTTGGACCAGAGCCAGTGCAGATCCAGTCTGAGTATAGGCAGAGCCTTATTTGCTATCATTCAAGAGATGTAGTTAAACTGATATTTGCATTTAAATGTTTAAAGTGTGATTTTTTGTGTGTGATTTTAACTGTAGTTTTAATAATTGATGTTTTAATTGTATTTATTTATTTTTGGATTTATATGTGTTAGCATTGAGTCGCTGCCTGTTGTAAGGCTGCCCTGAGTCCCCTTTGGGGTTAAAAAAGAGCAGGGTACAAATGTGGGAAATAAAGAAATAAATTTAACAGTATCACACTGATTTTAACAGTGACATACATTGCCCTGGGTTGTGGTGCGGTCTCCTTCTCTGGAGGCTTTTAAACAGAGGCAGGTTACCATATTTTGGAAATGCTTTGATTGTGGATTTCTGAATGGCAGAATGGCATTGGACTGGAGGGCCTTGATGCTCTCTTCCAACCGTGATCCTAACATTCAGTTTCAGACTTCTCTACATTGTGCAAAGGAGACCAGGACATATTGTCTATGTGACAGTATTTTAGATTTGGCTGCTCTACATGGTGAGATCAGGTAATAAGAAGATGAAATCTGTTGTAAACAGGAATACTGGGGGTGGGATCATGACACACAGCCCATTTCTAATGTGGGATTCTTGGGTTCTTTACAATGTGTGAAGATTGTTTTCACATGGGCCTGAAATGTGACCCTGGCAACAATGATGATGTTACTCCTTCATATACACTATACAGATAATATCAGTAGAAAGGAAGTTGTATAGAATCAGCCAAATTTGTTTCTCTTCACCATTAGCTGCTCCTTTGTATTTAAATGAGGCTTCAGTACAATGATATAACATTTGGGAAGGAAGATGCAACCCAGTAACCCAGTGTTGGAAGCCAAGATGGAAAAGATCTGCACAGCTACCATGTATTTACCTTTGGTGCTCAGATAGGTGGGCACAAAGGACACCCAAACACTGCAAACAATCAGCATACTAAAGGTGATAAATTTGGCTTCATTGAACCCTCCAGGTAGCTTCCTGGCCAAGAAAGCTACAATAAAAGAAGTGGTGGTCAAGATGCCCATGTAGCCAAGGGCAGAGTAGAACATGGTGGCAGAGCCTTCATTGCACTGCAGGATGATTTGTCTGGCATGGGAATTCATGACAAGTTCTGGGTAGGGAGGAGATGTGCCAATCCAGACAACACAGATACCAAACTGAATAACAGAACCAAAAAAGACAATGGCATTTGCAAGACTCTGCCCCATCCATTTCTGTATTCTGTGCCCTGGCTTGGTGGCCATGAAGACCAATATCACAGTGATCGTTTTTGCCAGAACAGAAGAGATAGCAATAGAGAAGATGATGCTAAAAGTGGTTTGGCGGAGAAGACAAGTCACTTTTTCTGGCTGGCCAATAAATAGAAATGAGCACAGACAGGCAAGCAGAATGGAGACAAGAAGGATATAGGTGACGTTACGGTTATTGGCCTTGACTATTGGAGTGTTGCGGTATTTCAGAAAGATTCCTAGAACAAAACCTGTAACTACACACGAGAACAAGGAAAAGAAGACTAACACAATCCCCAGAACTTCTCCAAAAGATAGAAAATCAATGATCCTGGAGATGCATTGATCTCTGCTATTATTTGAATATTGATCTTCAGAACACTCTTGACATTGATCTGCATCTGTAAATGAACCAGATATGACATTAATATTTTGCTTACCGAAACATATTTATGCATTTACTACATTTATATCTTATTTTTCTTAATACTATGCTTCGGATTTATTTCAGTTCATAAGAAACATAGCTAGGGAACCAGAGTGAAAATAGTTACTCATCAGAAATAGTCATTAGAGAATGAATTGCCCTTGATCTGAAAAGAGCCATGATATATGGTGAAGCAGCATCTACATCTAAATTAGAGATGAGACAACTTGGAGGACCAAATTCAAAATGAATCCTTCATCAACGTGCCCTGGAGATTTATGGATATGAGTATAATAATGTGGCCTGTCTACAGACTTCACACTCAACTCCTGGAACGCTCCATCAGCTTTTCCTCCAGAAAATCCTGCAAATCTCTTGGGAAAACAGGTGGACAAATGTCAGCATGCTGGAAGCAGCAAAGGCCACCAGCATTGAAGCGATGCTCCTATGCCATCAATTCTACTGGACTGACCATATTGTCTGAATTCCCGATCACTATCTCCCCATATAGCATTTACTATATTCCCAATTCAAGAATGGAAAAAAGAAATTTTGGAGCATAGGAAAAGAGATTTAATATTTGCAGTCTTCACTGGTGTTAAGTACCTTTTCCAAACCAATTTATAATAATTTTCTTTAAGACGTATCAATAAATTCTT